AACAAAGCAGCAAAATTTGTAGAAAAGTGCAGTGATTTCATCTGATAATGCAAATGTGAATTGATTGCTAAGTATCAAAGGTATGATTTTTCCCTTTTTTATTAAATATGTATCTTTTATATGCTTTGATAGATTTCATTCGCATACTCACATATATAATGTCTCAAATAATATATTCTAGAAGTAAACTTCCAGTCATTCTAGTTAAGTCAGAGAGGGAGAGAGAGAGCTGTAAGTTTGGGGCCAGCCTGGTGTGTTCATGGTTTTACAGTGAGACCCTGTCTAAACACGAAACAAAACAAAACAAAACAAAGAAAAAACATGAAACAAACATTTGATTGAAGGCAAAATTGACATGATTCATCTCACCAAACAATATAATCTCAACTGTTTTGCTTAATTTTTCTTCTCTGTAAAAATATCCATGTGTGTAAAACATTTCCTTTTGTGATTACAAACCAGCCACTCTTGGTCTGCCTTGAGAAGCTGAATTAATGTTTTCTGTTTGTGATTTGTAGTGACATTTCACTGTCCTCACTGTAGGTCTGAGAAGTTAACAGAATTTGATTGATTTACAGTTTTAATAATTTGTCAGTATTAAACTTGCCAAAGTTTTGTTACTTTTTAGCATGATTGTGGAAGAATGGGAACAGAGTACAATACTTTTATGCCAAAGGGTCAATCCCTTCTTGAAATTGGCATCATCTCAGGGCTGAGCAGCATCTGAATTACTCATGACAGGCCTAGGCCTAAAGTCATCTCTCTCACTAGACATTTTCTTCTTTTAAAAAATTATTTTTATTTCATGTGTATGAGTACATTGCCTGCATGTAAGTGAATGCACCTGTATCATGCAATGCCGTGGAGGTTAGAAGAGACTTTCGGATTCCCTTGGAACTGGAGTTAAGGATGGTCATAGCTGCCATGTGGGTGTTGGGAATGGAACCCAGGTTCATCTGCAAGAGCAGTCAGTGCTGTTAACTCCAGCCCTCAGTGGACATTTTCTGATGGCTCTGGTGTCACTGGTCACAAGGACCCCAGTTACAATCATATTAGTAGGATACATTAAATAATGACATTTTCCTAAACCATCAAAATACCTTCTTTAAAAATTAAAAAAGCTATTTATTATTCCTCCTTTGCTCTTAAAAATGAAATATTTCAAATGCAACTTGAATGCTTAGTCTCTTTGAGACAAAAATGGATATTTTAAATTATTATAAGGAAAAGAGTTGTTGCTTTATCAGATAAACACGTAGAAGCATTTTCAAAGCCAGACCATCATGTC